CCTTGCTCCTGCCATTGTGGTGGCAGCGCTGGCGGTTATCAGAGAGGTTGCTCTGTGTGTGACTGAACGGTCTGTTACTGGCCAGCGTTTGCTCCCACAGAACAAAGACTGCACATTCCCTAACTGTGGTCTGTGTGGAACTTTATATAACCTTAACAATCACATGTGCAACATTTGGAAATTAATTACTTAGAACTTAACAAGTGCTTCACAAAAGCACGCTACACCTAATAAGCAGTATAGGCGTTGCTACAGCTTGGTGCAATAGAAATCCAGCTCCTGTGGGGATGGAGCTGCAGGCAGCAGGGTTGTTTAGAGGGGAAGAACTTGTTTTAAGATTACACTGCAGAACACCAAGCAGGTGATGTGCAGTTTGAGTTTCTGCCTGCAGCAGGACAAAACACACGCCCCTCACACCCAGGCTGGCCAGCCCCTGTGCCCCAGCGACATCGGCCTTCACCCTCGCTCAGGGTGAAGAAGGTGTGTTCATATAATGAGCTGTAACGCTCTTGGGAAAAACAGACTTATAAACTCTTTAATGTTACACTGCCTTACCCAGGCATGTTTTGATCTCTAAACTAAGACCACTGAATGTTCACGTTGCTTTCCTGTAAGTGCAAGTGCTAGATTAGGTCAGTACTTTACAAGTGCATCTGAATGTTACTTAAGGTTGCATGTTTTGCATAAATTTCTCACATATATATGACTGAGGACACTGAGGTTACTCAGAAGTGACTCCTGTCCTAGTTACTGAGAAGAGATACAGAAAAGCTCTGCAGTAGCTGTGAGAGACTGACTGGCAGGTGGGCGACCCACTCCCGGGCTCCTTGCAGCACAGAGCAGTGTGCTTTGGCCCACCCTGACAGGCACTCTGATGGCACCAGCACTCCTCCTTGGAAGTAAGTCTGAGTACACCAACAGCCCCTTCCCTGTAAGTACCAGTTCAATTCAAACACAGGTTTTATTAGGAATGAAGTGTTACACTGACTGAAAAACCACAATCAAGCAGGATTTAACCTCTTCAAGAATGACAGCCACACTGTGGTTTTATGCAAGACTGTCCTCCCAGCCCCAGAAGGAGATCCTGACAGTCCCCAAAGAGAGGCCCCAGGTGACTCAAAGGTACAGTCCCTCGGGGGTTCCCTCCTGCTTCTTATAGAGAACATTCTCTTTAGACTTCTTGAAGTCTTCATTTGTTACTTTCATTCTCCGCTCCCGCAGCGCCATCAGTCCAGCCTCTGTACAGATTGCCTGCAACAGAGAAAGCAAAAGTTAGGGGCTCTGCGTGGCCCCCTCAGGCCACCCCTCAGAAGACTGCAGTGTCTCCGTGCTGCTCTGACCAAAGTGAAGCGCGTTCACAACATGAACGCTGTGAGGTTCAGTACTGCTGAACAGCACGGGAGCATGTAAAACAACCTAGGTAAGGCCAGAGGAGTATTTCTGTCCCCTGGCAGTCAGAGTAACCCTTCCATGACGGAACGGCAGGGCGGTAATGCTAGTGAGGCCTCTGTCAGCTGCAGAAGAGCAGAGTAGGTAGGTCTGATGCTTCCTAACTTACAGGTATGATTTTAGCTGCTTGCAACATAGTCCCTAAAAATGCTTCTTGCCCTGCACTACCTTATGTAATGTTTAAGACACCTTGCATGTTTGTGCAAGATTCCACATTCCCCTTCTGATTTCCACTTTGCTACTGTTGACATTTCATACTCGGATAACACAGTTACATACTCTTATCAACACAAGCTACTATTTCAATAAGGTTCCCGTTTGTAAAGCTGAGCACGCGGCACTCAGAAGGTATTTCACAGCCACCCAGCTGTCCCTCGGTGATGTAGCGCAGGTAATGAGAGACCAGCCAATGTTTCTGGATGCAGTAACAATGAGATCTGATTTGCGTTTTGCAGTATAAGCAACGGTGATGTACAACTGACCTTAATATCTGCACCGCTGAGATCGTCTTTTGCCATAATCAGCTCATCCAAGGTCACGTCATCTGCCAACGTCATCCTGCTCGTGTGGATCTGAAAGATGCGTTTCTTGGTCTTCTCATCGGGTAGAGGAAACTCTATTTTCCTGTCAATACGTCCTGTCCAAAAGAAAAGCTCAGCCTTAGTTTTTCTGCGTGCAGCTGTTTGAAATGGAGCAGGAAGGACACCTCAGGGTTGTCCTCACACCACAGTCAATCCGAACGCGGGGCCGGACTGTCTGCAGTGCGCAGGAGGCTGCGGGAGGGCACAGATACCAAGCTGCTGAGAGAGGCTGCATCGCTGCATGTGACACCTTGCCTGCGAAACACGAAAAGCCTTCCCAGAGTCAGATGTAAATATTAAAAAAAAATCCAGTATGTCGTAGCACAGATAAGTATGAAACAAATGCTTATGTTCCTGTAATAAATTTTATTCTGCTGAGATTACATTTAGCTCTGAAGTTTAATTTTCTGCTACACACATACACACACACAAAATAAATCCCTGCAGCAACTTGAAGAACTCTTCCTCCCTGTATAACCATCCTCCTAAAGAAAAAACAAAACCCAACAAAAAACCCCCACCTAACTGAAGAAGGAAGGTTTTGCAGGAATAGTTCTGTTGCAAGTCCCCACCAGATGTTTTCTTTATGTCAGCAGGGACTTTGGATGTTCTGGCACTCTTTGTTCCAACTTTAATGAGCAATCTTTTTAAAGATATCTTCCATCTCCAGATCACTCCTGTTTCTCTTTGGTCGTACAGGATCTGCTCTAAGAAGGGCTGATGGCCCCATGCGTGCTATTGCAGGCTGTTGCACACAACGGTCCATCAGTCAGCTGAACTGCTGGGGGGGCCCTGGTTGCTGCAATTTAAATACCCCACAGGTACAGGAAGGTTCCTTCCAACAAATTTTAGATCATCTTAGCTTGTCCTTTAATACTGATACAGCATTATCTCCGCTGCACTCTGACAGCAGTGGTGGTGATTTGGAGGGGCAAGGCCACAATGGTGACAAAACCAGACTTTTTTGACAAAACACAAGCACCCCTCAGCAACTTCATACCGTGGAGTCTGCAGTCACTGCTCAGAGTGGTTCTTTGACAATTTCATCTTAAATTATCTTGGCTGTCTATCTTACTTCTATTACTTTAGCAGGAGTATCTTTACAACCTCTTTGCTACTTAGGATTTACTTGAGGACACTAACGGGAGGCTGAGCTTGCTGCTTTGATCTCCATGCTGCTTCCTGCCTTCTGGTGTAACCAACCCCACAGACGTGTTGCGGTTCAGGACATTTTTAGTGGCCTATTGAAAACACGACTCGTGCCTGTTCAAGCTCTCAGCTCCACGTGTAGGACCTATGTCAAAGCCAGGTATCGCTGCTCCCCCCAGCCCCCAAACGACGGCGGTGTGCCAGGGTGGAAAGGCAGTGGCCTGGCATCCTTGTGTCACAGCCCAGCTCTCACCGCGCAGCCGTCAGTCCCCGGGTGGCAACGGAATGCTACTGCACCACGCCTTGCCTCAACAATTACTTAAAATTGCTGTGCCACCTTAATACAGGGGGAGCATATTCAAGTTGCTTATGTGTATGTAAGAGAAATTAACACATCTCTTCCATAGTTTTTTTCTCTTGTTTGGAAAACTTGTGAACAGGTTCTGATGTCAACAGATACACCAACCTAGCTGGGATGGCGAGCAGAGACAAACCAGTGACTTGCATGCTTCTTACCAGGGCACGTTTGACAAAAGCAAGGGAAGCACACGCCGCAGGCAGTCTCTTACCTGGCCTAATCAAAGCTGGGTCCAGTGTTTCTATTCTGTTCGTAGCCATGATAACTTTGACATCCCCCCGCGAGTCAAACTGCGGTTTCAGCAGCTCCAGCATTGTCCGCTGGATCTCTCTCTCACCACCCGAGTTCGAGTCGTACCTTTGCGAAAACAATGTCATCAGAAAAAGCACTATTACTTCACAGAACTGCCACAAACACGTAAGAAAATAGTGTGAGGGTTTGGTTTCGGTTTTTTGTTTGTTTTTTTAAGTACTCATGACAGATTTTTTCTTTAATCTCATTTTCACCCACAGAAAACAAAAAGGAGGTTTCATAACCACATTGTAACATCTAGGTAAGTAAAGAGACACTGAACTACTCTTGTAGCTGGGGAAAGTAACAGCAATCACGTGAAGGAAATCTGTCCTTTCTCACATGTTTGTTATGTATTTAGAAATATCTTTTTCCCCCCCCCAACAAAATCAACAAACTAACATAAAGGAAACAAATCTCCTTCTTAAAAGCACATGCTTTTAAGAAAACATCACAGAAAACGCAGCTTGTCACTGATTTTTCCACTCCAGCTTTTCCATATGCACCCAGCTGTAATGGCACGCCCTTCAGCCGTACTCACGTGGGCACCAGTTTGACTCTGCTCTTCCCCAAACACCGGTACCAGTGGCTGCACTTCCCTGCCCTGCAGCTCAGCTGTGTTACTTCTCTCATACCAGAGCAGATGCTCTACACCCACAACAGCTCAGCCGTGTTTAGGAACCGTCTGAAGCAACACAACATTTACACAGAATTCCATGCGTTACGTGCTTCACCCTCCATCCAATCCTTCCCACGTACGCCGAGACGCAGCGGGCAGAAGCTGCCTCGTACTGGAGCCTCAGGCTAGCAGCTGTGTAGCAATGTGTATCAGCACTTTTTTTATTTATTGTAAAAACATCTGACTACTTTAAAGGCTATTTGTATTGGACAGTTCCAACCAGCCTGTGGAATTTTCAAAGTAACACAACTGGGATGGCAGCTGAACCATAGTTTAGCGTGACACAAGCAATGCTTCTCCATGACATTGTGCTCTGTAGCTTACTGTATATATTCTAAGAACGTAAGTATTTAGCCCGTCTGGAGAGGTAATCAGCAAATGGACATATTCTGTATCACGTACACTGCTTTACTGTGAAATCACTGAAGCCAATCACCGAGTACTTGGATTTGCACGGGGAGGCGACCGTGTGAACTTACACACAGCGTCTCTCTCTGTTTCAGACACTCTACCACAGGGATGCGACCAGGCAGCAACAGGAGAGAGGCCGAGCCTCCGGTCATATCCACTTAACAGGAAAAGGTTATGATATATTTTAGTCTCAAAGTTATTTGAGGTTTTACTTGTTAAAAATGCTTCCATCAAAAAGAGTATCACGAAAATGGTAGCAGAGCAAAGAAACCGAGTACCACCAGGGCTGCAGCAGCAGCGTTTCTAGCAAACCCCCCATTGCCCCTGGCAGCGCACGGAGCGGAGCCGGTGTGCGGTACCTCTTGGTGCCGATGGCGTCGATCTCGTCAATGAAGACGATCGACGGAGCATGCTCTTCAGCCACACGGAACAGCTCGCGCACCAGCTTCGGACCGTCACCCAAATATTTCTGTATAAGTTCTGAACCGACCACTCTCAGGAAGGTCGCTGAAGTTTGGTTTGCCACTGCTTTGGCTAGTAAAGTTTTACCTGTTTTTAGTAGGAAAGAAATACTGTAATTAGATTGGGGGGGGCGGGGGGGCAGTGCTTTAACAAAACAGTCCCATGAAATTTGTGACAGACTTGGCAATGCTTTAACACTAAGCAAGCATAATTTCTTCCGCTGGTGTTAGCTCAGCGGGGCTGTCACCGTGCTGTGAGGTACCTGTGCCAGGCGGGCCGTACAGAATGACGCCTTTGGGTGGCTTTATACCCATCTCTTCATAATACTCAGGATGGGTGAGAGGAAGCTCCACAGACTCCTGCAGCACAAAGAAAACAAACCTGAGTTTTTATAACGAGCGAGTGCTCTCCACACAAGTTCTGTGGGGACCTTGAGAACAGCATTGATAAGAGTAATGGAGGCAAAAAGAACTGAACTGCTTTCAAGACAGACCTGGAAAGGTACGTCTCTCTCGTGCCTCCAACTCCAAGACAGACAACGACTCTATCTGAACGGGTCCTCCTACTGTTTCCACTCAACCAGCGGAACAGAAGCCGTGAGTGTTCCCCCTCCACCAACGTAAACACATCCCGCTGAGAGCAGGACCTGGGAGTTCCCGACTCCCATCACTCAGGGAGGACCTCGGGCTGGGGGGACCCTTTGTGAAAGGACGCCTTCCACCATCAATTACCAGGTATTACAGATCAGTATTTTAAGAGCAATTTTGTGATTTTGGACACCTACCCAAAGCAAAATGGTTGAGTTTTACCAGGGTTCAGATAGAGCTCTGCTCATGGAAAAACAAAACAAAACAAAACAAAAAAACCCACAACAACCACAAAACCAAACAACCCCCCCCCACCAACTAAACACAAAACCCCCCAACCAAGCAATAAAAAAAAATGCAAAGACAAACCAAGCAAAAAACCCTACCCCCTAAATCCTTGGATTGCAGGGCACCAGACACTCAAACCAATCTCTGCACTTCTTACAATTTAACTCTCATCTTGCAACAGTCAATAACTTTACACGCTGCAAACTAGGAAGTTACTGCGCAGATTTTGTAAGGGCTCTACAGGTTCCACAGCAACTGCGCAAGGTTCCTGTGCCTACAGATTGAGAATGTCCACGAGTCTGCTAAAACCAAACCAAGAAACACACGACAGCAAGACACAACAGAACACTACATGAACGGCAGCCAGTCCTGCTGTTACACTTCCGAGCTCCCAGTGCAGCAGCTACGTTGCCAGCTTACTTAACGGTGTAAATCCGCACAACTGAATACCTTGATTTCCTGAATCTGGTTGTCAAGGCCACCAATGTCAGCGTATGTTTCTTGAGGAGCTTTCTCCACTTTCATCACAGTCACTAAAGGATCTGTGTCATCCATCAGGACTCCTATCACAGCATGAACCTAATTCAAGCATTAAGAGTTGTCAGAGAAAGCCAGCAGCACTATTAATACGAGCTCAAGCCGAATCCCAGTGCCCATCTATTTAGGTGTACAAAGCAAACAGCATTAATACTCAGACCCTGTGATCCTCAGAAAAAAGGCCAGTTAAGAACAGTACAAGAACTTGTGCTTCACTTTATAAAAACAACTCACCTTGTGATTGAGCAAAACAGAGCAGCCTGGCTCTAGCAGATCCTTGTCCACAAAAGACAGGATACTGACGTAGTGCTCCGACCCGACTGAGGTGGACACGATCGCGTGGTTGTCATCAATGATCTCTTCCAAGGTACCCACGGACATTGGTGTTCCCCTCAGATCATCCACCTTGGATCTTTCTTCCTGTTGTCAAGAGGAACCCAAGAAACAACTCCAGAACACAGGCAAAAACGTTCCTGTACAGCACTGGCTCAACAGTTCGCACCAAACACAACAGAACCACCCTCTGCTATTGTTGTTTCGCTGCCCCAACAGGCATCACAGCACAGGCCAGTAACGAAACCCACTATAACTGGTCAGACAGCACTGCACGGATGCGCATGGCTGGGACACTCTTTTCTTCTCTTCTGAAGATTTTTTTTTACTTTCACAGATCACAAAGAAATAAAAACCCACTGTGGCCTCATCTGTAGTAACCCATGCTTGGACTAAAACCATTAAACCACTAGAAAAAAATCCTTCATTTTCTGGACAGTAGTTGAGATTTAATGAAGAATTGTAATGTACGTAGTATGTTTGCACTGACTTACACGTTCATGGCACTTTATTTCCATTGCTCTTGCATGAAGCCGCTTATATTAGAGCACTTACTGCAATATTAGAAGTAAGAGTTCACTCAAACCTCACCTCTTGTTTTTCTTCCAAAGGTTTCATCTGTTCTTGATTCCTGATAAATTCTTCCTCCATTAAGAGGTAATCTTTAATTCTCTCCAATTTCAACAATTTGAGTCTGCACTGCGTGTGAGGGGTCACTGTAACCAAAGTACAATCACAATATTTTAGACCAATCACAATATTTAGACCACAGTGCCAACTACTCACTAATTCATTACCAGAAATTCTGCTTTATTTTCTGACAATAACTACTATGTGAGCAGCAGTCACTAATTTACTCATGCCACTGTAATTCTAGGTAACAAAAAAACCAAACATTTTTAAAGGTAATGTTTCCCCTGTATTTCTGATCATTTCAATTTCTCTCTCTCCCACCTAGCAATTCAGAGGGTGCATCTTGCATAAAAAATAATTGTATTTTGTGTTTTTACATCCATTAAAAATAAAGTTACATTTGGCCTCCTGCATTTGTGACCTACATGCAGTCAGCGCTAGGGGAGAAGACAGCTCTGTGGTTCCCGAAGAGCAGACAGGCCCCAGGACGGCCTGGGCAGGCAGAACGCTTACCCAGGGGAAGCTTGCTGGCAGCATCTGGTCCCTTTGTTTTCTTCTTCTTTTTCCCCACTCTGGTTGGAACTGGAGGCTCGTATTTCTTCTTCTTATCCTATTCAGGACAAGGATTCCATGGAAAAAAAAAAATCAGGATATTAACAATGAAAAAATACGCACAGATGCTGGGTGCACAGAGACAGAGAGGGCTCAACGGAAGCTGAATGGCTGCATAACAAAATTATCTCCTCTATGATATATAGCGAGAAGCCCCCCCCAAAGCATTACTCTTATTTTTTAAGAAGGGTAAAAAATTAGTTCTCCTGCTTATTTTGCATCCCTCTTTAGTTTAGGTTTCTGCCAGTTTTCAGTGATTACAGAACGTGGAAGGGTAACGCCTGAAGCAAATCACCAAAACTCACCCGTGGAAGGATGAGGCAGACACTGGACCTGAACGCTTCTGCAGTGCCCAAACCAAGGGGCAAAGCGCGCTGTGCGGCTGCCGGCCGGGGCACGGCGTGCCACCCACGCTACCCCCCCAGGGGGGGCCTCACGATTCATCCCATCCCAAGATAGCTATCTGAGACGGGTAGGGTGAATTGATGCTGGAGGTGCCACTATCTTTCGACAGGGACTATGAAAGGAGCCTAGATGATTATCTTGGACTAGACACCTAACTTTTAGGCAGAGTCAGTTAAGGTGAATCTTTGCTGAGCTGAAATCAGTGGTGGTTTCGCCTTTGCCTTCAGTGAGGCCAGGTTTTCACCACAGCAATCTGAGTAGATTGGAAAAGAAAAACAGAAAAGGGAAACACAGCTATAAGGGAATGAAATATTTATTTCCCCCTATTTACAGAGAGCAATTAAGATATAAAGAGACTAGAGGAATTCTTCACAGACGCGAAGTGGGCTTGTGTTGATCAAGAAAGGAAGCTTCGGAGTCTGCATGCACAACTTGAGCTATCAGCCACCCGGCTTTGCTCCCAGGAAAAGCATCATGCAAATTTTAGGAGGAAGGAATCGCGGCAGACATGCCATCTGGGAGGATGATGGACAACAAGCTGACTAGGAATAAACAGCAAAATATAATAAATTCCAAACCATGCCAACAGCAACTGTTGTGCTATGAATTAACAGTGCTATTAAATGTTTACGCACACACTTCTGTCAGCACCTGTCAGCATTTATGCAATACATACGTTGGCAAATCTGTATTACGTTATTTCTTGCAACTGATCTGCATTAATACTGCCCGTGCACATGTTCAAGCAAATTGCTACACTTCTTTTTGACCTATCCATGTGCAAAAGGTGCAGCAGTTCACAGTATTTTATGCCTATGCAGCAAATTATCGTTTCACGTGCTAGGCAGCAGAGCAAGGCTGGGGGAAACAGGGAGTTTAATTCATCACGCAGTCAGAGTGGGACAAGGACAAATAAAACCAGGTCTTCCCCCCACCCCTCCCTTCTTCCCGGGCTCAGCTTCACTCCCGTTTCTCTCCCTCCTCCCCCCGAGCGGCGCAGCGGGATGGGGAATGGGGGCTGTGGTCAGTTCATCACCCGTTGTCTCTGCCGCTCCTTCCTTCTCAGGGGGAGGACTCCTCACACTCTTCCCCTGCTCCAGCGTGAGGTCCCTCTCATGAGACACAGTTCTCCATGAACTTCTCCAACGTGAGTGCTTCCCACAGGCTGCAGCTCTTCATGAACTGCCCCAGCATGGGTCCATCCCACAGGGTGCAGTCCTTCAGGAACAGGCTGCTACAGCGTGGTTCCCCCATGGGGTCACAAGTCCTGCCAGCAAACCTGCTCCGGCGTGGGCTCCTCTCTCCGTTGGTCCGCAGGTCCTGGCAGGAGCCTCCTTCAGGCATCCACCTGCTCTGGCGTGGGGTCCCTTCCACAGGCTGCAAGTGGAGATCTGCTCCACCGTGGACCAAAATGGGACAAATCCAGAGCTGATGTTTCACAGCACTGATGGGAGGATCCTCTGCTGAGACCACGTCTGCACTGGTGTGCTCCGTGCTGCCTGCAGCAGTTCGCAGCACTGCTGGTGCTGGCTGCCCTCCACCCGTGGCGTGTTTTGGCTGTTCCAACAGGATGAACAGGAATTCCTTCCGCTTGTAAAATGCCAGGAGCTCTGCTTCCAAAAGTTTGTTTTCCTGTAGCATTTTTCCATCTGTGTTTTCAAAATAAACGAAGGCGTTCAACCTTGTTTTAAAGTTATCTGCAGAGCGAGTAACCAGAAATGCTTCTCAGTAATGAGGGAATGGAAATACAAATCAAAGCAAGTGAGGGCAGTTCTGTATGTCTCGGAATGAAATCTGAGCTTCAGGAGCTTTAACTGCCAAGAAAGGGGCACTGTCACCTTTCTGGTGGGACTTCTTGCTGTGAGCTGACCTGTGTGGCAGCACAGAGGCGGAGGAGGAAGA